GCCCCCTCCTCACCTTGCCCGGCACGCCGCGGTGGTCGGTGCTGCCCTGCCAGAAGCGGCGGCTGTAGCCCAGGATGCGCCCCACCATCTTCTCCTCGTAAGGGAAATCCACCTTCCAGATGAGGGAGCCGTAGCCGAACACCCACATGGCTGCCCGACTGCCGGGCGGGCCTGCGCACTGCCGGCGGGCGGGAGAAGCGGCTTCCCCCTCGGCAGCCGGCGCGGGGGGCAGCGGGCCCTGCCCCTGAGGGGCCACCGGCCTCGGGCCTTCCCGCGGCGGGACCCTGGTTCTGCCGGCTGGCAGCGTGAGCCCGTCCTGTGCACGGAGGTCTGCCTTTAGGTGGCTGGGTCAGTTGGCCTAGGAATTATATCCCTTGGCCCGGGGAGCCGCTGGGTGGAGGCAGGGGAGCTGTGACACACACCCCACAAACACACACGAGCACTCCCCCCAAAACCCACCAACCAACCCAAAACCTCTGCGAAACAAAACGAAAGAGCCCATGATACATATATTTTGTACTGACGGGCGTCTCCCATCCTTGCCTTTCTTCCCCCCACTTTTCCTCCTGCAGAGATTGCCGTCCACAGGGATGGATTTCACGGAAGCCTACTCCGATCGATGTTCTGCTGTGGGGCTTGCAGCCAGAGAAGGAAATGTTAAAATGCTGAGGAAACTACTTAAGCAGAGATACAGCATCGATGTTCCAGATAACAGGGGGTGGGTGCCAATCCACGAAGCAGCAGCTCACAATTCGAGTGAATGTCTGAGGCTGCTGGTTCGTGCAGGTAAGGAAAATTTGATGCGAAATAGTGTGGGTTTTCTGCTAAATTTAAAATGTTTTCTGCAAAACCCTGTCATATAAAATATAAATTAAATAGCTCTTTCTTACTCTGTTCTTACTTTTTTGGTGAATTTCTGTATGGTTTCATATAGTTACTGACTAGCTATGGTAAAGAGAAACAGGCATGTCTATGAATGGCATTTGATTTTACTTTACCTTCTCTATCCAAGGCTGGTATCTGCATAGAGCCAGCAAAAACTGACACTGCTGTTCAAAAGAGTTCATAGAACCTCACCTTCATGGATACAATGTAGGCCACACATAAAGTAACTCAGTTATTTTAAGAAAATAACACTATTTTGTAATTCATTGCTAAATACACTTTTTTCTTCATTATTCTCATTTGTAGCTCCATCTGATGGCTACATAAACTCAAAGACATTTGAAGGGATGTGTGCGCTGCACCTTTCGGCACGCCATGGATCTTTGGAATGCGTTCGTATTCTTCTGGAAGCTGGGGCTGACCCCAATGGAGTTACCACCGAAGCAACCACCCCACTGTTCCTAGGTGACATGAGCTTTCTTGAAATCTCAGAACAATCAGTGAGGGGAAAAGCTTACTCACTGAGTTGAAACTCACCCGAGTTCATTCACTGCCTACCCTGTTTCGTATTTTTGTAGCCTAAGTACAAGGTGTTAGACCTGGAGATGGGCTGAGTCTAGAAATTACCTTTTTTTTTCATGAGTAAATCTGCTTCAGATTGTGTTTTAAAAACAAGTTGTAAAATCAAATTGGTTTCCTGCATTATCTTTCTAGCACAGAAAATGTCTAGGAGGTGTAAGATTACATCTGTATGAGGGTGCTTCAAGTATTTCATTTCTTTTTTAATTCCTCTCTGTTTCTTATATAAAAGACCTCTTTTTGCAATTCTTAGTTTAGCAATTAAGGTCCAGTATTTTAGTATTTTTTCTACGATTTATGTTTGACATAATTAAATGTTTAAAACTTCTGCTGTAGTGAATCCTGAGTCTAAATCATCTGATTAAATACGCTTATTGTTTTACTCACCTCTGTACCCAGGCAAACATCATGGCTGCTACATTACCTTTGTTTACATCTATTCACATTTTATTTTTAAGCAACTAAATAGTTTATTTGTTTAAAACAATTGGTAACAGGTAGCAGTTGTGGGGAGATCATCATTAAAAGCACACTGGATAATGATAATTAACACTATGTCTAAATGCTTACATAGATTAGACAGGGCCAAGAAAGGGTCCTGGGGTTGTGTATCCAAGAGATCTTTAAAAAAGGAAAAAGTTTATGGTCAGGTTAGTCCAGACAATATAATAGAGTGATGGCACAGCTCTGTGTTGGATATTGAGTACTACAAGCCAGAGGCACTCCTTTGGCAAGCTCCGTGCACTGATACTCTAAAAATTATTCAGTCAGTAGCAGCTATTCACAGGACATTTCTCTCCATACCAAGCTTTTACAGTTACATAGGCAATGTGCCTTGGAAAAAAACTTGGAAAAAATGTGCCTTGGCAAAATTCAAGGATGGATCAGGATGCTAAAGGACACTTTGTTAATGAAACATAAATTACATTATATGTACACATTATACATTAATTTTATATAAGTGTTTAAGGTAGTTTTAAACTTTTTTTAAAAAGTTTAAGTTTGGGGGAATTTGTTGTAAAATAGCCACTGGGCTTCACAAATTTGGAGGGCCATTGCAGCTGTCATGCAGGTAGGTGGCTGCTGCAGAATTGTCTCAGTGTTCTGTGGGAAAGAGGGAGGAGAGAAACCTGATTTTGTTATCTGTGTTAGCACAATGTCGGTAGAATTTTGACAAGTCTAACTAAAAACTTTGTGGATAAATTTCCATTCTCCAATACTGTTTTGGGGGATAAGCATAAAAGGCAAGTAAGCATATATAAGGTAAGTTGAAAGGAATTATGATTACTGTGTCAGGAAGTTAGTGGTGAGACCATTTGAGTTTTTAAATTAGGTCTTTAAATCCATTTAATAAGGGTGGTTTTTTTTTTTCTTTCACTGTTCTATTTGAAGCTGTTGAAAATGGACATGCAGACATTGTAAAGTTTCTGCTCCAACATGGAGCAAATGTTCAAGGATCTCATTCTTGGTCTGGATGGAATTCTTTGCACCTAGCTTCTTTTCAGGTAACCTGTAAGTGTATCATATAACTTCCGTGTAACTAGTGTATTCTGAGTGATAATTTATGTTTCTTGGCCTTTTATCAGGTAATTTTTCCTAACCTACCCTAGCAGTCATAAGGCTGTCCAGATGCTGAAGGCTTGCAATGCACTGAAGAACATATCTGAAATTATAGGAGATATTCATGCTGGGAAGAAATAATTATTAAAGTATTATAAGCGTTGCATGTATTTGTAAGCTCACATGGGTATTTGGGAAGTGAATCTCCTAAAAGATTTTTTGAGAAAGAGTTCTGCTTAGTATCTCATCATCAGTGAGATGTATGACCTGTTTCCAGAATATAAATACGTGAGCTTAATGGTTCTAATAAACTAATTTAATTTCCATTTGTATATATCATGTAAATGAGCAAATGTGAAAAAATAAATTAAACGTCTGATTTTTTTTCTGTCATTAATTCTTCTGTACATCTTTAGAGTATTGAATATATGGGGGTTTATTATTTCTGTTTGAAATGTATGGGGAAAATAGATTTATGTTAATTCCCCACTTTTTTGTTGGTTAACAAAAAAATATTTCTTTCAGGGATGCCCTGAGATAATGAAAATACTCCTGGAGAAAGGAGCAAGCAAGGAATGTAAGGATGACTTTGGAATTACACCTTTGTTTGTTGCTGCTCAGTATGGAAAGCTGGAGAGTTTAAGACTGCTTGTATCCCATGGTAATAGTGATCATTCATTGAGCTTCATTGTTTTTAAACTTGTATCAGCCTGTTTCCAGATACAATTTTAGTTTACTTTTGCATTTCATCACTTCAAATTTTAGTGGGTTTAATGTGATTTTAGTTGCAAATGGGTATGCAAAACTATCTTAATTGCTTAAATCTTGTCTCTGTAATTTTATATCATTTTGAGCACGTGATGATAGGAAATAATCTTTTAATATTTTTGATTTATTAAGGTTCATCAAGGTCTTCTAGACGCCCTCAGTAGCACTGTATTAGTGGTCTGATTTTCATGACATTTGCTCTTGTAACAGGATGTTGTTCAGGCAAAGTGAAGGTATCTCTTTCTGGTCATAAAGTGACAGCAACAGTTTCATTCACATAATTCATTTTTTATGTCTAAGTGCATGTGTCCTTACAACCAAAATTAATTGCCAGAACTATTAAGCCTGATGGTGCCATGACCTGACCAGAGAAATTGTACTAACTGATCTACTAGACAGGGGGAGAATCTTACAAAAATAATTGCAATTAAAAGATTGCCTGGCCAATTGCCTTTCCTCTCGCATGTTTATCTCAGCTTGTGCTGGTCTTTGACAGAGTTAATGTTAAAGCACTGACTGCTTAAAAAGTTAGCAACAAGCTAGTTAATGTTTCCTTACTGTGGAAAACGTGTTGTGAAGTCACTCTGTGAAAACAAGTTACTGATTAACATTAATTTGTTGCTTATTTTGTGTCCTGTAATGGTGATGTAAAGTATTGGCTTTCTTTTTTGGCAGGTGCAGACATAAACTGTCAAGCCAAGGACAGAGCCACTCCCCTGCTGATTGCCGCACAGGAGGGCCACACCGAATGCGTGGAACTCCTGTTATCAAAAGGGGCAGATGCAAATCTCTACTGCAACCAGGATAACTGGCAGTTACCTATTCATGCAGCAGCTGAAATGGGCCATAAAAAGTAGGTGATTAAAAAGACATTCAGACACAAGATTCTGGTTTAAAAAACCTAATCGCCAAAGTGGAAGCAGCTCTGTAAGGAAGAAAAATAAGTTTTTGAGCTGATTTGTAGTTTAGAATTTCTAATTCTTTCAATATTTTAAATGTCTGTTAGTAGTCCCAGTAAACCATATCCTAATGAGTTTAAAGGGTTTTCCACAGTGCTGAATATACCAGTTCACTCAATAGCCATATTACTTTTACATTTCAAAATATAAGAAAAGCATACACTTTATACATGACTTGAACAGCTCTTAATTAAAATTAATGACTATTAAGTAGCAGAAGTAATCATATGCAAATAATGAATTCGCTGAACCAGCCTGAAAGTCAAAGCCACAAAACAGTTCTTTTTCTAGAAATGCATTTGTAGCTTTCCCCAATCTCAATGATCTAAGTTGCTTTCACAGCAGAAAACCAAGAGTGGGAGTTCTTAGAGTAGGAGGCCATTGCAGAGAAGCATGTCTCAGGAACCCAGTGATTTGCACATGTGTGACAACACTTAAATATATTAATGATGATACTGACTGTGAAATTATTAGTAGATGCTTGATCTTTACCCCTAGCAAAAGCATGTAATCAGCTGAGCGGTCATTGAAGTTTCTGCATCAAATTGATGCCTCTCCCCAAACTGATGAGGAGGGAAGACTGTAAGTAAATACTGAGGAAGCTGATTTTTTGTTCATTTTCTCAGAAATGGACGATGGGTCAGCAAAGTTGTCAGTACTAGAAATGTCTTTAAATCAAATGCTGCCCTTTGTAGCTTTTGCAAGAGTATGTAACTGGCAACCTCTGAGCAGTGCTGTTAAATTCCAGTAGCAAAGGAATCGGTGTTGTCACTAATCCTCGCTAGCTGGAAGGGATGTGAACTGGAGGTCCAAGCTATGAAGCAGAATGATTTTTCTGTTTCAGTATCTCAGTGTTGTTGAACAGAAGTAAATATTCATTTTATTTGCAACTTTCATAGAAGTCTGGAAGCAAACTGAAAATGTAAGTTTGCTTCCAGACTTCTATGAAATCTGGATTTAATGTGTAGTGGTGCTCTATTGCTGTAAAAAGGATGATTAGGTAATAGGAAGTATCTGTCCCTGGTTAGAATTAAATTTATTGCCAGCCTAAATCCATGCCAAAGCACAATGTTTGTTACGGGTCTATGTACGATATGGTAAACGTTGTTCTTTTATGCAAACTCAGTAGTGAAAAAACAGGTAGTATTTTCTTCTTGAGTTGTAATGACCATATGAAAAATAATCATACATTTAAAATTAATTATTGTATAAGATCACAAAATAAACAATGTTTTTAAATATTTGCAGGATATTAGAGTTGCTAATACCAATTACTGATCGAATTTGTGACAGAGGCAAAGGCAAAGTGAGCCCTGTGTATTCAGCAGTATATGGTGGTAACAAAGAATGTTTGGAAATGTTACTTAAAGAAGGCTACAGTCCAGATGCTCAAGAGTGCCTTAACTTCAACTGCAGATCTCCCATGTGTATGGCCTTCCAAAAAGAGTAAGTATACCTCTTATATTTTGAAACTACTCATAATTATGTTGGTCTTTATTTAACTTTTTTAAAATGTGCTGTTCTCCTGCCCTCCTTCTTCAACCTTGAGCTGACAGAGTTAAACTGTAAGTATCAGAATGGTGTGTGGACTTTGGATTGCAGGCACGAGCTGAAGAACCTCACTGAAATCTCTGAGGGGAAGCTCAGTTCTTTGAAGAAGAGTCTTGTAGAACATAATTGCAGTTTTTGTGCTTTCAGAAGGCCTTATCAACACATCTCTGTCTTCTGGGAATGCAACTCGATGCTGTAATTGGAGCAAAAGGACTCTTAAGTAGCCAGATTCTTTTCAGTAAGGATTAGTTATTGGAAAATAGTGTTTTCCTTTTCTGTATGCTGGTCTCGTGCATAAGACAAGCAGAATTAATCAGCCTAACTCTGTAGCTGTAAGGAAGACTGAGAAACTGAATGATAACATTCTTTCAGATCATGACCCATTTCTTTTTACACCTGCTGCATGATGCACACCCCTGGTATTCAATGAGAAGTAAACCAATGCTTACTTCATAATGCAAAGGCTATAATTTTGGAGGAAAAATAATAAGGTATAAAAGTCTTACTCCTAAGTGTGCACAGGTAGATATATGTGTCAAATGTGGTGCTCTTCACATCCTTATTGTTGATTTCTTTTTTTTTCCCCTGTGTTTTCTTACTCCTTTTTCTGTGGGAAGTCAATTCATGGAGAAGTGGACTATTACTGTAAAAGATCTAGATGTCGCTGTCCCCAAGCTCACCTTGTGCTCCTTCCAAACTGATTCAATATATAAAAAAACAGTCAAAGAATTGAATACTGACACAACTCGAATCAAGAGAGAGAATCAAATCTCAGTCACCTCTTGACAGTTCTGAGCTTTGTATAGAGGTGTAATGTCACTGTGTTTTACATTGTTAACTGAGCAGTTACCTAATACTGCTTTATGCTTTAGAAACCACAGAGGAATTCCATGTGGTAGAGAATACATTTGAAAACTTTTTTTTTTTCTTCAGATGATTGCTGTCCATTCAGTGATATTTTGGCAGAACTCTGGTTAGTTCACCCTTTGTAGACACTCCTCAAGAATATTAATGTGAAATAATGTTATGTGGCTAGTGTGCTGCCTTAAGGAAAGTATCTTCAATGAAGGCTTTTAAATCTTAAAACTCAGATTCTAACAGAATGCTTCATGAACATGGATTAAAATTTATTGCTTATTTACTGCCATTTAGATTAATGCGGTTTTGCTAGTAGTGAATTTAGTTCACCCTGTTAAAAAGCAGTTTATCCAGTAGAGGCAAAATCATAGCTCTTGGGGATGGCTTACATTTGGGAAACGTGAATTCAGATTCTCATTCTTGCCTCTTGTCTTCCACATGGGATCTGGATTTATTTAAAGAAGAAAAATTAAAATATGCAATATTTTAACAGTTCTTAGATTCCAGAAGTTTGTCAGCTGCAAACATTTTTAGCCAAATTACTAACATTTAGAAGGACCTGCCTTGGTGCCCTGAATCCTATAAACAATTGAGGCTTGGACACAGATGTGTACAGGCTATTTGAGAAACAATTTTTGTTATAATTAAAAATAGTGGTCTTCAGGTTATGTACTTTTTTCCCCCCTGAATAAAGCTGTTGAATTAACTTTGGGATATTCTTTGCTGGATATGTTTGAATATATGTGAAGTGTGTACTAGTTGCATACTATTAATTAATAGGATCGCCCATTCTTACAGTTGGTTTAGGAAAATTTCTTAAAACTTTACCAAATATACACTATCAATCTACAGTGCCATAATTGTAATAAATAACTTGCCAGTCATTCATAATGTTCCTGAAGTTAAAATACTACAGTAATATTCTGACTGAGTTTCTCCTACTTGAAGTAAAAGGGCTTATTTCAAGGAGAGAAATCAAGCACAGAATTAATTTTTTTAAATAGTGAAAGTACATCCCAGTGACTGCCTGTTAGAGCCTCTTGTGTCTCTGGTCAGCCTGCAGGTGATTTTGAATTGCTTGAGGCGAGAACTCATCCAGATCCAAAATAGCACATGTGAAATCACACATCAGGATACAAGGCAAAATGTGTTTTTCCATATCTCCATACATGACAGATAAGGTGTGCAGTGAAGCAGTGCATAGGGTTTGTTATTACCGATTATTATGGCAGACTCCTAGAAATTGTCTTTAAAAATCCTTGGACATAATTTTTTTTGCCTTCTGTCCTAGTCTTGGTATATAATAAATAATTTAGGAAGGAATGCAAACCAGGTAACCAGTAAAATGTGCTGTAGGCAGGTAACATATATCACCACTTCAGAATCACTTCTGTCAAGTGCCATCTAATTACTAACTAAAAAGCAACACACTAATTATCAGTCATAATACCATTCATTCTCATATTACCATATTATAATTGCTAATGAGAACATTATTTTAGTAAAAACATTTTTAAATGCTTACAACGGTTCAGTGGGTTGGAGAGCTTCCTCAAATGAATTAAATCTTAAACAAGTTTGAACATTGGGCTGGTCCCTGAGTTCTGGGTTGCAGTGATTTGATATTTTCACATACTGCCCATCTATTGTATTTGGCCTATTTTTAAGGTGGAACCTAATCAAGTGGGCATGGTGATTTCTCACAGAATCAACTAGGATTGAAAGGACCTTAAAGTTCATCTAGTCCAACCGTTAACCTAACATTGACAGTTCTCAACTCCACCATATCCCTCGGCACTATGTTGACCTGACTCTTAAACCCCTCCAGGGATGGGGACTCCACCACCTCCCTGGGCAGCCCATTCCAACGCCCAACAACCCCTTCTGGAAAGAAATACTTCCCGACACCTAGTCTAAACCTTCCCTGGCACAACTTGAGGCCATTCCTTCTTGTCCTGTTGCTTATTACTTGGTTAAAGAGAGTCATCCCCAGTTCTCTGCACCCTCCTTTCAGGGAGCTGTAGAGGGCGATGAGGTCTCCCCTCAGCCTCCTCTTCTCCAGACTAAACACCCCCAGTTCCCTCAGCCGCTCCCCGTACGACCTGTGCTCCAGACCCTGCACCAGCTCCGTTGCCCTTCTCTGGACACGCTCGAGTCATTCAATGTCCTTTTTGTAGTGAGGGGCCCAAAACTGAACACAGGAATCGAGGGGCGGCCTCACCAGTGCCCAGTACAGGGGTGAGATCCCTTCCCTGTCCCTGCTGGCCACGCTATTGCTGACACAAGCCAGGATGCCATTGGCCTTCTTGGCCCCCTGGGCACACTGCTGGGTCCTGTTCAGCCGGCTGTCAGTCAACACCCCAGGTCCCTCTCTGACTGGCAGCTCTCCATCCACTCCTCCCCAAGCCTGTAGCGCTGCTGGGGGTTGTTGTGGCCCAAGTGCAAATTCTGCTTATAGCAGATCAGCAGCTTATAGTGGATCAGCAGTGTGGTGATACCTTGGTGTTACAGATTTGACTGATGACTCTGGGCAGTTTCTGTCTGTGATCTTGCTTTGAAGGGCAGGAAGCTGGTTGAAACCATAGGTTCTTTAGGACAAAAAGAGCAAATGAGTTGTGTAGGGACTAGAGTCTCCTGAACTAGTTCTACTTTTTAAACTGATGCGTTTCAGAAAGAACTGTAGTCAGAATGGCATGCTGGATTTTCCTTTGATTTGGGGGAATTTTTGGTAGAAGAAATTTGCTTTCTCAGAGATATGATGTGAAATGGTAGATGATTTCTGGGGAAAACTAACAGTATGTCCTGTTCCTTGTGTGCTGTTCATAGGTTTTTTTATTTCATTGATATTCTCCTGAAATACGGGATCACCTTACTTGGGATTAATTTGGGATATTGCCTGATCCATGAAAAGTTTACTTTGTTTAAACGCTTTTTGAAGCTGGGCTGTTCACTGCCTTCTGGGGACCAGTTGCTGGAGTTCGTAAGTTACACACTAAAAGTGCATAAGGAGTACAAGAAATGGCTGCCTTATCTGCTCTTGGCTGGTTTTAATCCAGTGAATTTAATGCACAGATTCTGGTAAGCAGATAATGTTATCTTGTTTACTTAAATATTGTATGCTAATCTGTAAAGCTGTTGCCAATGTTATTTAACATGTGCTTTCAGATGATAGTACTTGATAATCAGCTGCCATGATAAGGAATGGTGAGGCTTAGGGAAAGTTTGAAATAAATCATTCACGGCTAATGGCTGGATTCAGTAAAGCCAGTTTCTTTTAGGAAGAAAGCCAGAATGGAGATTGCTTTATCACTATTCTGGAGAAAGGCGTCGTTTTACAATTTTGATATTGAGTCTCTCTTATTAGCCCCCAGATTTAGTTGCAAATTGCTTGTGTATGTATAATACGGTAATGGTAAGAAGAATTTCAAATACTGAGAAAGAGGTCAGGAGAGATGGAAAACAAATGTAAAGTGAAGTTGGGCCAAGGCTAGGAGGGGAGGAAACAGATGCAGTTAGAGATTGTGTTAAACTAATGTGGCGCAAATGCCAGTCTGATTATTTTTATTTTTTTTTCCAAATTCTTCCACATACTAATAAGTAATTGGTGATGGTTTCTATTTAATTAGGCATACACAAGTAAAAGTCTGAAGTATTTGTATTTTCTTCTGTTTTCTGCTTGTCCATGAAGATGACACTTAAGACTTTATTACCATGTCTCAGCTGTTAACAACATAATGTGAGATCTATAAACTCATTACGTTCATTACTTAAAATCTTGCTTCTTTCATACAGTTAAGGTTTACTTAAATATTGATTTATCTTTTAGATACTGTTGAGATATCGTGGTTAAGAGATCACTGGTAGTTTTAACTGTATTCATTTACGACAGTAAGATTCTGCTAATCATTAGCATTCCTTGCTTTCTGAACAGTAATATATAAAGCATGGTATATGTGTGCTTCTGTAGATCGTATTTATTCAAAGAAGACTAAGTTACTGCAAAAGTAAACACTACAAGATTACAATTCAGTGACTGAACAAATCTCACTGTCCATGTATATCGAATATAATGGGTTTTGTTACATAATCCACAAATACTTCTGTATCAATTACTTCCTTGTTTAAATATCCACTTTTTAAAATAACAGATCATAATCTACAAAACTAATGGTTTTGTAAGTTTAATGTTAATATTAACTATTCTGTCCTGGAAGATGACAGGAGGATAGTAGACAGCAAATGGCATTTATGCATATGGTTCATTAACAGTCTCTGGCTCCTTGTGCAAAACAACTGTATAATCAATCACCAACTCGTCAGTCTAGACACCTACAATTTTAATTTGCAGTGGGAAAAGTAAAATGAACGTTCTCTTAAAGAAAGTGAGGCAATCACATCTGTCTCCTGAATGGTTTCTGGTGAATGTATGAAAGTTCAGTCAAATATGAAAAATGAAATAATAAAACATAGAAAGGACATAAAATAATGTTTACATTCATCTTTTGTACAAAGCAAGTATATTAAAATTTTAGTCTGTTATTTTTGTATATGTAGAGCATTTAGATTTCTATTCAGGTGGAAATTCAGGATTGTATACATCTAGCAGAGAAGCTGTTCTGCGAAACTGCACAGTTCTTCAGCACGTGCAATACTCAAAACAGTTGGTTTACTTGCTGTTACTTAAACCTCCTTTAACACTTTATTCAATTAAGCTATTGTTAAAAGTTCCTCACACATGCTAAAGATTTGAAATGTAGAACATACTGATTTCTGAATACATATAAATGCAATCTCTAGTAGGAGAGTTTGAAACACTTGCAAATTTGGAGGGGTTTTGTTTTAATAAGTAGCTGAAAATACGTGCATTTTTTCCCCAAAATGATGGTCATGCTTACAATGCTCTGATATCTTGACCCCTTACTAAAATTTAGGTAGAAATGGAGTAAGAAATTAGTGCAGAGAAGAATGCTATTACTGAGGCATTTAAATTTAAGAGCAGATATTTTTCTCTTACAGTCTAACTTACTTTTAAAAAGAAATGGAGTAAGATAAAAATACATCAGTAAAGGCTCATGCTGTCAAAATTATTGTGGACTTCTCTTGAATGGTTTTCTGTTTATGGGCTTAGGGTGTAGGTTGTTCAAGATTTGTCAGAAAATAGTAAAGCTTTCTAGGCGTTGTTTTCATTATTTATGCTGTTGTGTAAAATGATATTTTATGTGAGTTTTTGTTATGCAGGATTTTCTCTGTGAGCGAGAATGCCCTTAATTTCATCCTGGAGTTCACAAACTGGAAGAGACTTCCTCCAGCTGTAGAGCAAGACCTTTCTGACTACAAAGAGAAGTTCAATGGGACTCCCAAGAGCCATTTTGGTAAGCAGTAAGGTTAGGGGAAGAAAGTGTCCGTGTATGCCAGCTTCCAGGCTGTAAGTGGGAAACAGCCCTGTGTGCTCATGCACGATGGCAAAGAAGGTTTAATAGTCAATAGACATTGCTCATCCAGAAACTGGGGAGCAGGTATAGCAATTACCCTAAACAAGCAAGCAAGCAAAACATATTTTAATTAACTTTACTCATTACATTGTTCAATTCAGACTTAGCATGTTCCAAGTAGGTATTCTTAGTTTAGGCTATCTTGACCACTTCAAATTAATGCGTGTGCTATAAAATATGGGTAGTGACTGTAAATTAGTACTGTGCCTCTTGGAAGATGTAAGGGAAGATGATCAATATTACTTGGTTATGTTTTCTAGACAATATCCCACTGATTATTTTTTTTTAGATTTGTATTTCCAGTGAAGTCTATGCTGTTCTGTAAACATTTGACAGTAATTAAAATACAAACCTTATAAATCATCATATTAAATACCTGCAGATCTAGCTGTTGTCACTCCTGTAATCAGAATGTGGTCAGTCCAAAAAAGATTCAGTAACTGATTGTCCAGGAAAACACTAGTGCTCACTGTATTCACCCTTCAGAAAAGCAGCTTTAACATACAGGTCATGTTCTGTGACCTGTGCATTATGTTACTGAAAAATTGCACTCGGATGTCTTTGTTAGTGACCCATTTCACAGCAAATTCTTCTTTGAAAGGATCTGTAATGACTTTATAAATGTCTAAGTGGTAATATTATTAAATACTACTTTGGAATATTTGAAACTAATTAGGATAAATTTTTGGAGGGGAAAAACAATTTATTTGTGGAAATTTAGGTGAAGTCCTTTTTTTTCCTTTGCTATTAGTAAATATATTTGTGTTGTAATATCATACAGTACTGAAGCCGAAGAGAGAAAGTGGAGAGTAAAAAGCAGAGGAAGGAAGTTTGAAAGTTTTCACTTTTTCATTCTTGAAGGCAATAGGAGTCAGGGCAAGCAGGCCAGCTGCTGTGCTGAGAGGCAGCCTTCCCCTCTTGAGAAACACCAAGCTCTCGAACCGTAAGCTGGTCATGTGAGTGAGCACAGGAAAATAAAAATGAAGGGTTCCTGTGGAAAAGTTCAGGAACAGGTGTCCACACCTCCAGCTGAAGGCTTGCAGAATGCCATACTTACCCTTCTGTACTGAAATTCAGAAGTTATTGCAGATAATGTTAGAGATTGCTTGTGAATAAATAAATGAAGAAGCCACTCTAGGATAGTTTGGAGGCACTAGAGTTTTGTATCAGGATAAGCTGATAGGAAACTTTGAGTGAATGCACATTTACAGATGTGTTTGTGTATCTTCCAGCACAATGCTTGTCGTAAATCAAGCTATTTAGCAACATGTTAGAACATTTGGGATTATATGATGAGTCATGCTGTCATTTGGTACTTACCCTACAAGTGCTTTCCCTTGTGTTATTTCATTGTTGCTTGATTTACTTCTAGACTTAATTTATCATTTCTTGTAGGGTGGTACAGGCCCCTCTCTCCCCAAGCAGGTAGCTGTTCTAGACTGGCTAGATGAAACTCTCTGATTAAGGATAAAGTGATTCTTTGATACTTTGTTTCTAGAAGTTTAAGGTAACTTTTCTAGCTCTTATAGGGAAATGCCTAAAACACCGATTCTAGCAGGTGACAGCCCTTCCCTATCAAGACCTTAGCCTCATTATCTGCCAGGGGCTGGGGGGTTCAGATGGGATCCAGCCAAACCAGGTAACCGTGGGCAAGCAATGTAATCCCACGGTGTCCTGTTCAGTGTTTGACTTGTTCTTTAATTTTTCAGCCCTCATTCCTTGCCTGTCTCATCTCTGTCGCCTTGAGATCCGGTCCATTTTAACGAGTGAACGCCTGCGATCGGACCGGTTTATCCGCAAATTGCCATTGCCAACTTGTCTCCAGGACTACCTTCTCTACTTAGATGTACTGCGAGCCAGTGCTATCCCAGAAGTGGAGGGTTATCTGGGGCAGAGAGAGGAGGGAGCTCCCTCTACCAGTCACTCCAGCGCTGAAGATGCAGAGAGGAGGGAGTGCCTGTAACACTAGGTGATGGCACTGCCAGTAACTGAACTCTGCAGCTGCAGATTTTGTAATGGCAATTGGCAGACACCAGAGAAGAACTACCGTAACTAACTGTAGTAATAAGTCTTTCCATGCTGTAATTTTATACTACATCTAGAAGTTTGTTAGAAGTTCATGATCTACTTGTTTAAAAAGTCTGTTGTAGCTTTCTAAGTCTGTGAACATTTTCTGGCTTTTGAAAGGAAATCTTTAACTCTTACGGAGTAAAATTAGCTGTTCAGTGAACATAGTGTATATAGCAGTCGAAATCTGTTTGGTCAGACACTGTTAGTAGATGCTTTATTTTAAGTACTGCATATACCAAATGAAATGATCTTAAAGTCAAGGAAGACAATATTGTATTATTGTTATGAATTTGTGTTGGGGAGTAATCTAGTTGAACCCAGAGATAGGAAAATAATATGAGAGAGGAAATTGTTTGTTGAAGGAACAGTGATTTTTCCTTTTTTTTTTTTTTTTTTTTTCCTTTCCTTGGTGATCTATATTTGGCAGAACATCAGAGTGGGAGGTTGGCTCAGAGCCTGCACCCAGTTCCTCCCCTTGTGTAGCCCATGGGCAAGGCACGAAATGTCCCCACAAACACCGACACAGTGCTGCCGTATAAAAATCCCTCCTTCAGTGAAGTTAAAAAGCAACCACCATCCCCAGCAGCTGCATCCCTTGTTCTGGGAAAGCCCTCGTCTTGCAGAAGCGAAGCCAGCGTTGCTGGGCTCACTGGTAGTAGATGCTGAAGGCGTGAAGGATGTACAGGAAGGTTGTGATGAAGGCGAAGAACTGCATGAGAGGAAGAAGAGCAGGAGCTGAGGTCAGCTGGGAGAGTCTAACCCCATCTCCAGTCTGTGCTTTCAAGCTGGGGAAACCTCCCAAGCCTAAAGCACTCTCCACCGTCAAAGAATCAGCAAAGCCCCACCATTTCCCAGGAGGCAGCCACACAAGGCTCTGAGCTGCTGGACCCCAGGAAGCCCACACGGGCTGCACAAAAGAGACAAGGAGCTGAAGCCCTGACCAGCGTGACACTGCTGGGCTTGGGATGGCTTTGCTGTGGCTTTAATATTTACTCCTTCATGTCCCTGAAGGGAATTGTGGGTGCTCTGGCCTGCCGAAGGTTTTCTGGACTGACTCACCGATGCAGCACAGTTGAGCTGGTAGTAAAGTGGTGAGTTGGGGCCAAACTCAGAGCGGATGGTCGCATTGGCTTGCAAGACAGCAGCGCTCATGTACAGAATGGCTGTGGTGCCATGGTACAAACTGTCCTGCAAAACAAGGGAGCAGCAAGGATCAAAGCATGCCCAGGACCATCCTTCTCTGATTCGCCCCAAGGACAAGGTCCATCCTCTGCACGTGCAAGTGCTTGAATGGGACATATGTGCCCAGACAGGGCTGGGACCAAACCCTCCTGCCATGCCGAACCCTTCCCTGTGCCCATGCAGCACCCACGGCATAGCACAGCTTCCCTCAGCATTTCCAGTCAAGGCCAAAGGAGGAAAAAGGGCTAGTTGTTTGCAAAAGGGCTGGCAGCTGGCTGGCTAACCCATCACCAGCCATGGTGGTCTTGCGCCCACACTGCTGCTGCCAACATCTGCCAGTGTCCCAGCCCCTCCTTACCAACACTTTCCAGTTCTCGCTGTTTTTGTGAAAGCCGAAGAGGTAGCATAAGAGGAGCAGCAGGGAGACGAGGCAGGAGCTGAGGGACACATACATCACCCATCCCTGCAGCAGCGGGAAGGAGACAGAGGTAGCAGCGACGAGAATCCACACCCAGGTCCCGCAGAGCTGCCAGGGACAAACACAGGCACCTCTGATGAGCACAGGATGGGGAAAACACCACCTCCTCCCTCAGTCCCTCCTCACCTCCCTCCCAGGCCGGCCCCAGCAGCCATTGGAAGCCCTGTGTCTTTGGGCAGCATGGACCTGCCTTCCATCCATCCTGGTACAACAGCAGCACTGCAAGCTGGCATGAGTTTCCCTGAATGCTCTTGGGAAATACTTCAAAACGTTTCTTACAAAAGGGAAAGGTTTGCTGCTGTGTTCGATGCAAGGAAGCATCTCCACCCCAAGGGCTTTGGAGGAGAAGCCAGAAAATGTGCTTTTATCTGGGAAAGGTGAAGGGCTGCATCAGCCAGGCCCTGCCTGCTTGTTAATCTCCTAGGCTTGAAATCACGGCACAAGGAAGTCTCCTCCTGATTCCACACACCAGCCCAGAGTGATTCGCTCACTCTGGATCCACCTAAAATATTTACTGTGCACAAATAGCACACTGGGGTTATCTGGATAAGCTCGCACTGCCCTGTGCCATTCCAACTCCAGTGGATGAAACTTGCCCAGGTTTGCAGTGGGGAGCTGTGCCCCCTGGCACCAGGTGGCAGCTCGTGACAAAGCCCAGCCACGGCAATTGCAGCCGTGGAGCACGGGTGGTGTGGGTTGCCGGCACTGTGTCATGTGTCAAAGTACACCAGTGGTTATCTCAGCCAGTCCCATTGGATGCCCTCTGGACCCAGAAGCAATTGAAAGATTCATGGAATGTCACACGTTACAAGACACCCAATTGCCTTCAAGCCCTTGGAAATATTTAAGTCCGAGAATGAAATTCCCTTGATTTTCAAGCAATTTCTATGTGATAACTAGAGCTGCTTCTGCCCAGAAGCACCGGCAGCTCTTCAACCTCTCCCAGCCCCACAGCAGCCAGCGACCCTCGCGCAGGCACTGGGATGGAATTGGAGTGTATCTTGTCCTCACAGTTCCAAAAAAAACATATCACGAAGATCACTTTTGTCCATTCAGTATAAGCTAAATTTCCCATTAACGCTGTCTTCAGGATCGTTCTGGGGGCTGCTCCCTGATTTTTAGATTTGCTAGAGCCATTAGCGGGGTGCTGCAACACAGCAAATCTCAGCATACTCACTATCTCCGGTAGCATGAACGCGTAGGGGACGGTTTTGAAGACGGCGGGTCCAGAGGGCAAGGTGGGCTGCGTGGAGGCTGCAGGGGGACACACCGAGGCCATCTCTTCTCTGCTGACACTGCCACCGTTCCGTCTCGGCTCCGCTTGCATTTGCCTGCACCGTGCCGCTCCCGTGCGGGGTTTTAACTGACACACCCGCAGGGACGTAATCGCAGAAACCAGCCCAGGCTGGCACCACGCCACTTCCTCTGGCTGAAGGAGCCCTCAGCAGCTCTCTGGTTATTGCAGCTGGCTGCACATGCCTGGCTGCCTGCACTGGGATGGGGGGACCAAAGGGACCCCAGCCCCGCCACTGGCACATGGTCAATTCAAAGTCTTAAATGAGAAGGGAAGGAAAAAAAAAATCCTGCACCATACCAGGGCAGAAACATTTCCTGCAATCAGTTTTTGTCTTTGGCACACTTACAAGCCTGAAATATTTTTGCTTCCACTGTTGTTGCCTCCTCTCATTTCTGTTGAGGTTTCTGCTCCGTATTCATGTCAGGCTTCCCACCGGGCATGTCCAGTCTTTGAAAGCTTACAGCCAAACATTTTTTGCAGACAACTGAACACACTGGTAGAAGATGGGTGAGTTTGCCCACGTGCTCCTAAGAAAGGTCTGAAGGACAGCTACTGAGACAGCTTTGATCTTTACTTCTTGGCAGATTAGCTCTGGATTTGACAAGCACACTCTTGTTTTTTCCAGAGGACTCTGCTTCATGCTGTAACTCACCGATAAGTGGTGGGATGAAAGGCTGCAGGTGGCAGCTCTGCCTCATGGCCTAACAAAGTCATTTTGTCCTCACTAACTCAGGCAATACTCTGCAGCAGGAGGAGGATGATGTCCTTGGTAAGATACCATGTCTCTCTGTTAGAAGAGCCAAGTGATGCCCTAGGAATTTGGCTTCTGTGCCATGCTCTTGCACATGCGCAATACAGAGAAAAGATAAAATCTGTGATGTTTCTTATCGTCGGAGCCCCTCCTAGGCCGGCGGGAAGTGTTTTGCACTATTTCTGGAGGCTCCAGTTTACAAATGCTGTCAGTGGGAGCTGGCATCAGGCTCCATGCAGTGTTCTGAGGTCTTTGAAAGATCTTGTTTTAAAGCATTTCGCACCAGAAAAAACTTGTGCCTGGCTTGGACTTAAATCTGTATGTGACTCGATGCCTTCAAACCTCGTTGGACATGGTGACAGCGTATCCATCACCATGCAGAAAACATCCCCATGCTGCAGCCCAAAAGACATCAGATGAGTAACTTCCCACTGTGAGCAGCACGCACAGTCCGTGCTCAGAAGTTTGTACCCACAAAGAAGCCTTTATCATCCCGCTCCACCTGAGGAACACCCCGCAGCTCCTTAGCCTGCCCTAGAAAGTCAGCACGGAGGGACCTACCCTATGGCATGGCCACGCACTGGGGGAAGGCAGCATGCCCCCAATTCTCACCAGCTTTTATTTGTATTAGGTGGGTCAAGCACATTCCTATGAAGAACCAAACCTTCTGAGTGGGGAAAGAAAACCAGTAAAACAGTCTAAATACAGAGCAACCAGCTGTCCACTGATTGGACAGAAGATGAGTTTTTTTCTCTAACCTGGCTGACCTTGCTCAGCAGCATTCTCAAAGATCATTGCTATTTTCCTTGCCTGTTACCAGTCCACTAGGGCACCAGGATAAAGTCTTTTGTTCACCTTGATTAAAACAAAACTGGAAATTAATTGTAAGCTGCATGAGAGGAGAAAAGTGCTGCCTTGGCATTTGCTCAGCTTAGGCAAAATAAGACACTTGATGTGGCTACAACAGGTACATGTAGCAACAAACAACCATTGCCTTGTCTAACATTGCAAAGGGGAAAATTTAAAATATAGTTTATTATAACTGATAAAATGATATTAGTCTCTCAAAATGTTAAATAAGTCATTACAATTCAGATAGTACACAGTTTCTTTTTTTGTAAGAATTAATTTATATCGTTAACCTATTCTTACATAGCCTGTATTGTTCTTCCGTAATCCATTCATACTCCAGCACTGTTTTTTCTCACTTCTCCTAAGAAATCATAAGTCAGCTCTGAGATATCAAAGGCTTTGTGAGTATTTTCTGATGAGAGCAGATACTGAAGGGCACCGTCATTCTCTCGGCTCTTTTTCAAGAAGTCAGCAATCGCCTTCCAACGAGATGCTTCAGACTCTTCCTCAGCCCACTTGTAGTCAGGGAGGAGAGTGGAGTGGAGCAGAGGGAAAACAGAGTCGTGGTACACCAGGACAAACACAGACTTCAGAAATTCTTGATCTCTCTGTAGAGAAGAGTATTTGAAAATACCTCAGTACAAACACACAGTGTTGCCAAGCACTTCTCCAGAAGTGTCAAACACAGGGAAGAAAAAAAAACATTAAAATATTCAACTAACACCTGGTTCCCAGGAGAACAACAGGTAGAGACTTGACCTTCCTAAACACACATCAGCTAGCTCGGATGAGCCTCAAACTCGCCATCAAGAACTACTCTATATGTATATAAATCAACAACTCTGCTTTCCAACCCACCTCCTTTTCCAAACAATAGAGAGCAGTGACACGCAGCCAGACCCTGCCAGTGTTACCACACAATGGCAATGTGTACGACAGTCACTGGGAGCTCACAGGGTATTTATATTTCTTCCTAAAAACACCAGTCTTCACAGGTACAGACTAAGACTGTTTGCTGTGGCCACTGGGGAAGTACCATATCCTCTCCACCTCGGAAGCCCAGACTCCACTGGTTTCTCTACTGGCCTAGACAGAATAACAATCCCAGGCTCCTCACAGCATGTGGCTCTTAGCAGGAGGTAAGGCCACACTGTAAGTACTGTTATTTCACACTTTGACAGGACATTCTGTGTGCAGCAAGAATTATGCCCTCCTCTGTAAAGACAGCTTGCAAAACCCAGAGATTCAGAGTCAGCCTCAAACACCGAAAGATCCCAACTGCTTTAACTAGACGAGATTCATGTGCCTCATTTACCTCACGCACCCTAGAAAAACCCCTTCATGTATGGAGGACACACACAGAGCGCTGTCTCCTGGAAAACTCACTGACCACTGAGACTTTACCAGAAATGTAAATGCTATGACTGACATTGAACAGTTCCTATCTCAGAAGGAGATTTAGCAGCTAAGCCTCATACAACCATGCAAGGAGTAAGAATTCACCAGGCAGCAATCCTACTGTGGGAGTGGCACATGGCAAATCAGGTAAAACTGGATGTTTCTGGGATACTGAGGAGTTACTAATTCTTTGAGCAGATGAGCTTTCATTTTGGATGAATGGCTTTGAAAAAGTGACTCTGACTCAACAGCATTTTGTTTTGTTTGCGTAACTGGGGAGATCTCTTGTCTATCTATCCAGTAGCATGCGCAATGAATGAAATATCCTGCTGCTGCTCCCAAGAAGTGAAGTGCCTTGGATCAAGAGCTAGTGCCTTCCTCCTTCAGTTACCTACAGCTTCTCTTTGTCCAGAGGACAGGAGGTAGGACAAGGTACAGGTAAGCCTGGTGACATGGCCAATTCGGTTCTCCAGCTGTCTACAAGCCAAAATGGGAGATTACAACTGTCTGACATAGGGAGATTTGCAGAATTTGGGGGCCTTTTTCCAGGCAGACTGTGGGAGAACTGGAGCTCAGAAGTTGGAGCAGGGAAGATTATTTTGTTGACATACACAGTCCCTTCTGTACCAGTGGAAAGCTTTTACCAGTCTAGTATTAGAAGTGCATCACAAAAAGGAGCCACACTTTGGGTATGAGAACCAGTAATTACTTCCCCATAACAACCATATACAAAAAGTTACAAGTTAATTTCATATTCCTTCTTCTCCTAGTTTACTGTTATAAATATGGGAAAATGTTAAGAACCACATTTAGTGTATCAACATTTTCTAAATAAGTGTACTGTGAGAGGAAAAGTTAACTAGCAATAACACTGACAGAAAGCTTCTAGTTCAAAATAGATTGAATATATGTCAAAGAAAAACCTATAATTTATTACCTTCTCAGATCTCTTCAACGTTCTTTCTTTATCTGCCCAAGCACTCTAAAATGAAATGAAATGTAAAATCAGATTGAGATTGCTCCACAATCTAAAGCAATTCCATTTTTAACTGCAAAAATCCCCACTTTCCTCATACTCCCGATTCCTCCCTTGTGCCAGTTTAAGTTCACCTAATTTTACAGGTGGAAGGATTTGGAGATCTGAAACTATCAGAGCCATAAAAATGAAATCTAGGAGAGCTACTTTTAAGAAAAATCAGTCACAACCGAGGTTCACTTTTTTTCCACCCTACAAGAATGACAAAACACAGCCTAACCCCAAAGGCTGACAGCTTCTAAAGGTAGTGTCCTTTGGGAAGAAATAGCTCAGCTGTTGTTGCCTGGTACTAGGACACCTGCCAGGGACTGCCATGTAAATACAGTGAGCGCTGTCCTGCCAGGCAGAAGCTGTGTCAGCTCCTCCCTGTCATGAAAGCACTGTCGTAGAAGCCAGACAAACATTCAGACAGCTCATCCACCTGAGCATGCTCTTGCTGTGGCTACATGGCTAGCAGTGCTCAGACTAGCTAATTCATGTCTTTGCATCCCTTCTGTACATACTCAAGCATTCTCCTGTAGAGATCTGCACATACCTTCCTGCTGTTGGGCTTTTGCATTTATCTTTTTACTGGACAAAAAAAAGCTCAAATTTTGCAAACAATCGGGAAATCCTGACACATCAGATGTAATTGAACACCACGTAGGTAACATACCCGAAGTGCATCCATCAGGTCTGGTTCATCCATGAGTTGAGGGAAAGTTGCTAAAATAGGATTAAAGATTAAATCTGAAACAGAAAACAAATATATTCAAGGCTAAGAATTAAACAAGATGATTCTTGAGGTATCAACACATCAAGGTATTCAGCACATCCCCTCCCCTCTGATTATTTCAAAGGGAAAATTATCTGTACTAGTACTCCAGAGCAGCAAGGAAAGTAGAAAAGCTCTCAAACTGTGTTCTCTGACTGTAGCAAACTCTCAGTCGCTGAGAGACAGTTAACCTGAGAGAGAAGAGACACACAAAAACTGATTGCTGGTTTATTAGAGAAGCCAGCAAGCAAGAGACCTTACTGATTTAACCTAAGGTTAGAGTGAGGGTTTTTTTCTCATTTCTGCACCTGTCTTTTTTATAAACATCTGAAATTGTGCTGCTTGATTTGGATGTTATGAATAAACACACTTCCATTATGCCTCAGTCTGGCTTGTGTTGTGGGTGATGTTAAGGTACACAGGTAACAAGTGGCACAGTAAAGGTACCAAATGGGGCATATCATCAAACTGGATCAGTCTCCTGCCTGCCTTCCTGGTGAGCTACCAGGTAATAGCTGGGTCTCCTGCTTAAGCTGAACAGCTTTATCAAAATCAGGCAGGGCAGAGCTGCCTCCCCATGACTGGCAGGAATCAAAGCACTGTTATGAAACACAGCACATCTTGAGACCCCATGGCACAGGGGTTCTGTTTAAGTAATGAGACTGATGATAAGATTACAGAAGTGCTACAAGTGACATACAGAGGAATTTTGGTTGAAGTGTTTTCTTTCTCTTGTGATTTTAAGTATTTAATGTATGCTGTTTCTTCATGTTGAAGCTGACAGAAAGTTAATAAACAATGACCATTTACTAGTAACAAAACATTTTATGGAGGCAAGTGAGAACTGATTACTTTTGTGAAATATAACAGATGTTTTAAGTTACCTATTTCTAAACTGATAATTGATTTTTAAATATGAGCAATCTTCCTTTGTTACACCAGGAAAAAAAGTAGAAAATAGCTACCAGAACAACTTCTGAAATTCTGGGGTAAAGCCTTTAAATAATCTCAAATGAAGTCTGAATCCAAATGGCTGTAATTTAACTCCAGGAGAGGTCATCAGCCTGATCTATTATCCTACTGGCCTTTAAAAACTAAGCATTTTAGTTTCTCTGTGATGTTTATTAAACAAAGCATTAGTTTATGAAACGGTCTGACTTTCAGATACTGAAATCAGTATACATGGAATGTATACTAAAGTTCAGAAAATCAGGAAGGGAGTTAAGTTCTGAGCACCTTCAAAAGATGAACCTGTAATTCGGGCACCTAAATATGGCTGAAGATTGTAAGTTAAAAATGTTAGTAAGTGCAAAGGCAAATTTATTTGCCATAGGAGCAGATGATACATAATTCAATCTGGAGAAGAGATGGGAGAAAACACAAGAAAAATCACTTTGCATTACCAGTATAAATTCACATGTAGTACAGTTAAGAAATGTAATTTTTCCATATTTCGAATTGATTTTAAAATGGAGAAGACTATAAACTATTACAGCTCTGTTGAAGGGAAGACGTGGAAGGAATAAGAGAGCTGCACAATCAGAGCAAAACCTCTTCCACTTCTCTTTACCAGCTGCATTAGCCAATAGGTAAATAATAATTTTAAAAAGATAAAGAGGATGACTTGACCTCAATGACACAGAAGAGGTTAGGCAGATGTTTTGGTAACTCAGAGAACACACATATGCTAGAAATGAATGAGTAAACCCATCTGCATGTCTAATCTCTCATTGCATTAGTGGTGAAAAGGAAACATTTCCAAATAATCCTTTACCTTTATTTGCCTTTTTTTTTTTTAATTAGAAATAACCCTTTACCTATCCACAAGGGCAGTTTTTTAATGTGAATTTCACTGAAAGCGCTTCATTCATACTTCATGTCAAAGCTACTGGTTTGCATCTTGAGATGTGAACTGATGTCAAACAGGGCAACACATTAGATGCGAGTTGAAATATTACTAGTTTGAAATGCAGACACACTGAGTGGCAGTATTCACAGTGAGAGGCTGTTCTCTTTTATCAGCAGGGAAACAGCTTTCTCTTTGTCCCCACAACACGTACAGACCAAAAGTTAAAGCACTGAAATTCTCTACCCGGGGAGCGTGACTTCCTAACCTTGTGAGATGGTTGGTCAGTGCCAGGGCTAACAGGGAACAAAATCCTACGAGTCACCTGTATCAGTGAGAGATGTTCTGCAGACCCCAGATTTCTCTTACAAAAGGGAGACTCGAGAGAGAGTGATTCCCTTTAGGAACCTGCTTCTTCTCCAACAGACTCACCAGTACTGAGTTCTTTTCCACAACAGCAATTCTTACCTGCACTTTGCATGCTTACACTGTCTTTCAGGAGCGCATCACCAAGTATTTGTCGATAAAATATCAAGATATGGATGTAGCACATACTGCCAATTAACGTTTCTGGTAGCAAACTATTGGGAAAATAAAGAACATGCAGTTGAGATTTTTACTGAAAACTGCTCCTAAAACTCTTAAGCACTGTTCAGCAAAACTTGAGGGTAATGACAGCTTCATGGAGATGATTATTAACTCATATTGGCACCTCCTTGAAATCTATCACAACTTTTGAAGGTGTACACTGATAAAGCTCCAACAGCCAGACTCCTGCTGTTGAAAACAGTTTTCACTATTATCTAAACTTAAAGACTTTTTAGTTGTTTTCCACAAAACAGCTTTAAGTGTCAAACAGAGATCAAGTACAATATGTAGGTGAGCAACCCTCAGATTTTTCCATAGCCAGTGTTCCAGGGAAGGGGAACACTTTAGATCTCTGGAACCATTCTAGGCTATCCGAAATACTTTTCCATTTCATGGTGGCACACACACATGCATACTTACTTCAGGATGTCTTTTGACTGTGCACTTAATGACCGCAGTTTCACTACAAGCACAGGCTGTTTCTTGAGTGTTATAAACTGATGAAAAACACTGCTGCCTGCTTAAGAAATACCCGATATGAGATCTGTCATTTTGAAAGAACATTAAGAATTGTATTACAAGAATGGGTATTTAAATTTGACAAGAGATGTTTTGCTAAAACTGCAATGGTTTAAGTATGGTCTCAAAACCAGGAGGAATTGAACATCTGAAACTATATCAACATATCAGCTATATCAACATTTGGTCTAACATAAGCTATTACCTCTCTCTGGGGTGATGGAGTCATAATACACATGGAGTAATGTGGAGGTAAGTGTCCAAAGCCAAAAGGTAAAGGCCTTCTGTAGCTTGCAGCATGTGTCATGAGCAAATGGATATTATTAAAGTTTCCAGAGGAAAACTATGACCGCCCTTATTTAAAACACAAGTGGTCTGTCGTCTGACCTGACTCTTAGGGAAGCCTTATTCAGCCCCACCAGGAAGAACCAGTACAGTTGTTCTGTAGCATGTTTATGCACATGTGGAACTTGTGTGTAAGTGATATGGGATTGATGATAACGGGACTTGAACAGCCTGGCTTGGGAATTCTAGACCAGTGTAACTCTTGAGCCTTGTATCATCCATCACCCCATAGCCAAGAACTGTGAAGTGCAGTTAAAGAAATAATTTGTTTCTCAGAACTAACCCTACAACTGCAGAAACTGGAAATTACAGAAACATTTGCAGTGGCAGATAGTTCTGAATTCCACCAGCCCTAACAGTCAACTTTCATGCAAAATGGGAACACACAAAACAAAAGCAGCCTTGGCTGAGCACTGCATGTTGTAAAGTGGGTATAGCATTTGTGTTATCATTTCACTTTGTAATGTTTAGAAGAAACCACACCTCGTCTTGATATTGATGGGTCAACCTCAATGCCTCTCTCATAGGGAGTACCACCATTTAACAGCAGCTCATACATCCTGTGAAAGAGAAGCAACATTGTTAGAATAAAAAGATGTAAGGGTATGTGTTCTCACAATCAGTCTCTGAGAAAGAAAGAAACCTGTTACCTCAAACAAAAACTGACACGGTGCTTGAGGTTATGACTAGTATTTTATATGAAATGACTATATGTATTTACTAAGTAACCAAACCTCAAATGATAAATTTGAAACTTGTATTATATTGGGAAACTAGTTAATTATTTTTAAATAAATTAGTAACACTGATTCTTTTCCACAAGACTCCACTATTTTTCTTATATGAAATTTAGCAACTGTTCCGCTAAAATGTTTTTGAGGAGTCATCGCTTATGTAGCAAATTTTAGATATGGAAGATTTAAAGCGTTGAGGACTAATGTAATCCCAGTTCTGTCAAGAGTAAGTCACTGCTGAAGCAAGCATGCAGTTTCACTCTCTAGATAACATCTTTAACTTAATGGAATAGAAAAACAATGTTAGAGAGCAGATTTACAAGAGATTTAGAGACTTATAGAACAGTAGAGGTCTCCCATGGGCATTTTTTCCCCCTGTAATCAAAATATATTCAGAATACACATCTATATCTCTATATACTTGGTAAAAAACAAGTACTGCAAGTCTGATCTACATTGAATCATTTCTGTAAATTAACTGAAAGCTTTCCTACATTTAATAAAATAGAAATATGTATTATTCTTTAAGATTGTTGGACCCATGAACTATTCATAAATCAGCTGCAAAATATAAGCTTATTCACATTCTCCAAGTGAACAGTAACAGATTCATTCACAACAACTCTTACCTGCTTCCAAGTCTTAGAAACCAATCTTCTAATTTTGAAATGGGAAAGGGTTATACAGCAAAATGCACATAAAGAAGAGGCCAGAATTAAAAAGGACGTCATCAACTTCAATGTAAGTAATGACTCTACTTATATAAACAAAACTCTAAATAATTCCCTGTTGACTCATACATTTCCATAGTTTTAAAATTCCACACATACTAACTTGCAACATTTCAAACCTGAATGTTGGCTCCAGGGAGCACTTTTCCCACACAGACTTAGCAGAACATACACTGGTGGAAGCAGGACCAGCATTCTCACTGCAAGACCTGGTACATCCTGCACATTAGACTGGATTACACCTGCCCTTATCGTGCGTAAGTATGAAACAGGAACTTTACTCCTAGCCTAAAATACTTGTATATACAAACAAACATAAATGCAGAGAGCGAGAGAGAGAAGGAAAACATAATACACTTACTTGGAAGGAACAGGCATTCCATTAGAAGTAAAAAGCTTCAGAAATGCCCAGCCACAGCTTAGTTCTCCTCTTTCACCTGTTGCCTAGGAAAAAAAGAGAAACATAAGTAATTTGAGCCAGAACAAACCAGAATGAGTAACTGAACCACAAACACTTATTTAATCACATAAAAATGGTAAAAGCCCCAGATTTCTAGTAAACAAACATCGACTGTGTCACATTCACAGGTGTTTGAAGATGTTCACCAAACAGCACACACAGTTATGCTGAATGGTTCATGAACATATTTAACAGACAAGGATTTATAAAGCCAAGAAATACACATTTAAGGGAACATAAGTATATCAAGCTCCTGAAAAAGAAGAAATGCACAGAGACAAAAGTAAGAACCCCCAAACCTGCACTGATGCTCTAAAGAATACAGGACAGAAAGAAGGAGGGAAAAAATTTACCCAGAGGATTTACCCATCTGATTCCAGAGTCAAGAGTTTCTAAGCTAGTGACCCTGTGCATCGGAAAGCTTTAGCCACAGTAGACAGGGCCTGGGAAAGGGAGCTGATCCTCCAGACCAGCCCATCTATTTCCAGACCCCAAAACCACTAATAACAGGTAGGAACTTGTAAACACTTCAGCTTTCATTTAAACTTCCTCCCTAAACAGAAGCAGCCAACTTCACATAATCTTGACTACTCCAGCTAGCACAAGGAGGGTCATTGTGCCCCATTAGGTCTCTCTGAAGCATCACTTACCAACATGCTGTTCAACACCAGGACTTACTCCAGTTACCTACAGATGTACACTCTATTTATTTCCCCGCACAACAGTTCTGCATCCCCACCATGCTGCCAGTCTGTCTGTCCTCCACATCTCCACAGGCACTGCTCTCTTGCACCCTAAGTTCATACAGGTGTTAGCGAATGAGAAAATACATCAATAGTTCCCTCTGCGACTTCTCTATCCATCTTTTCTGAATTCTGTTGCCCACCATTTAATACCCTACCTGCTAAACACTGTGGTTGCCCCACTTTTCATCTTTCACTCATTATTTACTTGATTGCCAAAATTCACCTGAGGAGGTCTGTGACCACAATGAAAATCTAAGTGTTCAGAAAGAGGCAGCAAGACCTGAGTCAGTCTTGTAGACAAAATGGCTGAGAACTTTCAGAACAGTGAGCTGTTCCAAAAAGCCACTGTATCCTCCAAATATTAGTGTGTCTTATGCTCCTGCATGCACCTGCCTTCCATTACAGTAGTTTTTATGAGCCTTACCATCTATTGTTTACTACCTGTTGTACTTTTCAGAAGCATATCCTAGATGGATAGGATATATCTCTATCAACCGCAGCTAGTGTTCATACTATTTAAACAGTTACAATCTTAGTTTCCAAACTATATAGCACAGTAGTCTGAAACAAATCACAAAGATAGAAAAAACAATGCAGGAATGAAGACAGAATTGGTCCTTTGTGACCACATTACATGAGATCATTTGCAGAGTAACAGAATTTATTTCAGTGTAAGTAAAGGCATATTCACTTCCACTTGTCAGAAAATCTTTTATTCTCTAAATATTGACTAGAAATAAAAGTTCCAAACCCCAGCATCTTTCTCCTCCCCCCCAGAAGCCAAAAGGAAGACAATCTTATAGTAAGCTAGGAAAAGTTCAGGTAAATTTCCATTTGGATCTCGCAGTTCACTGCTGGGATACTGCAGCTTAACATCAAATATGGGACAGCTGGTTCACTTAATAAACTGGTGCTTGGAACAATTTATACTGCAACTTTACACACTTACATTGCGAATATAAGTGATGCCAAGTTCAAATAATATCCCAATGTCTGAAGACAGAGAGTTGGACCTGACAAAACAGTCACCATCAAGCAAGCTGGGTAAAATGCCTGTTACCTAATACAGAGAAAAGGGGGCAGGGGGGCAGGAAGAGAAAAGTGAATGTACCTATTAAAAAAAAGCCTGACTTTTAAAAGCCATTGAACACGTCAGTCATTCACATAAGATCTCAGACTCAATCCCATCGCATATACAAGAAAATGAGTAGAGAACCAATGTTAGTTGAAACCTTGCTCTCCTATTCTTTATCTTGCCACGAAACACAGCTGTGCTACCAAGGTACTTTTTTTGTGTGTGATAACAAGCTATTAAAGAACTTTAGATGTCAAAAATTCCCTCCAAGAACACAGCAACAATTAGGGTAAAACATGACAACACTACTACTGTGAGCATGGCCCTGTATGGCACCTGAAACTTGGAACAAAGCACATGCTCTTTTTTTACTGAAATCAAACCAGAAGCTGACGTGCAAAGTGGCTAGTCTCTTCCCTTATCCATGAACACCACGTAGTGTGCGCCTGATACTGATGCAAAGTTAACCAGTGCTGCTGGCTGGATCACCAGTCCTTCCTGCTACTTTTCCTTTCCCCCAGCAATTTTCTCCAAAGTGGATTTCCCAGAACGCTTTGTTAAGTTTGAATTCATGCACTTCAGCAAGTCTTTTCTCTTCTGCATGTTCATTTTGATTGCACTATGTCTTCTTTCAACACAAATACCAGACATAATAGACATCACTAAATAATAAGCTGTAAAGAGTTACTGTCTGTGTCAGTCCCAGAGCGAGACACCTACCCTTGGAGAAAAGGTCCACATTTGAGGATTTTTAGGTTGCCACGTAGCTCTCACTGTGTGAATGTTACTCAGCACCTAAGGCGTAATAGTGGTGAAAAAAGCTAAGACAAGTTTTTCTAGAAAGCTGTGCAGCTTTAAGAAAATGCAGTATTATCCCAGATTAATCTAACACTGCACACAACAAAAATAAAATTACACTTTCTCTTCAACTGTATCAGATGGTTTCAGTTTAAAGGACTACAGAGGAAGTTTTCTTAAGCTACAGAACACTTCCAACCATTTTTGCTTCATATACACCAGTAACAGTCCTTTGTCCCCAAAAGCGTTCAGTGCAGCTGAAAGAAAACTGCCAAATTGTCGTGTTAGATTCTGTTATAAAAAGCTGCTCTACATACATGCACAATAGAACAGAGAGGATCACCAGCAGGTGGGGGAATCTGAATATGACTCTGACCCAGCTATTCCCAGGCACATCACAGGAGAGATCAGTCCAGAAAAGGCTCATCTCCACAGGCAAAAAGGATCAAAGAGGCACCATGGCAGGGGAGGGAACTGAAATTATGGAGTCAGAGGAATGGAGCTCCCGCCCCAGCCCCTCCCAGGTCTGCCCAGGACAGCCATCCGTCCCACAGGCCAGGTGTGACTCCCATCACCATGAGTCAACAGGAGCGGCTCTCGCTGCATCACCTTCCAGACTGAAGGGGGTTACTGCTTAGTGGTATGAGACACTGCCATGCTGGGGAAGGGCATTTTGTGACTTACTGCAGGATGTTCAGGGGAGAAACCAAAGGCAGAAAAAGGGAGGGAACAAGGTGCTTTGTGGAGTAGCACAGGTGAAAAAACAAAGGGATAATTACTCATATCTGGACATGCCTGAGGCCTGATCAATGCAGTCTATCCTGTTTCCTCATTAAGCTCCATTTATAACTATTTTTCTGGGTGAATGTGCTCTATTCTGAGAGTGTGTGTGTGTGTGTGTGTGTGTGTGTGTGTGTGTGTATCTCTCTCTCTCTCTCTCTCTTGCTACCAGAGGAACCAGAGCACAAAAGTTATCAAGAGTTTTTTTGAGAGCCAAACTTACCTGATTGCCATCGAACAGACAGAGTCGAACATGTCTACTGAGAACCTGTATACTAACTCCTGGGAGAGGAATCATTTTACAGCTACATAAAGTCACAATCAGGGATATTCGAGTTGGTCTAGGATAGATCTGAAATACAGACAACGGAAGAAAGATTATGTCTACAGGCTCCTCCTGCATGTGGTACCAGTTTATGTTTATTTACTGAGATGATCAAGCGAAGCGTTCACTAGACACAAAGCTTGTGTAGTATTACCAAAATTTCTTCGTAAGCCTTTAGCTCTCAAGAAATCAGTGCAAATATTTTACTGTGACAGATAAAAGGTCCTATCAAAATTTTAGATGGAAAAAATATTCTACAAATGGTGCAAGTGAAGACATAATCATTAGCCAAAAGGAAAGAAGACAAGTTAAATTTGTGGCTTCACAGTGCCTAGCAGAAGTCCATGATTTAAAAATTCAGACTAGTAACCTGTGCAGATCTGCTTCCCAGACAGGGAAGGAACTCACAAACTTAAGATGAAACATGACTCTTAAAAGATACCCAACATGACAATTTGTACTGATTTTTTGCCTACAGAGAGTAGAATATGTTAACATCTACTGCCTAAGGAGTCTGGATTGACATCGAAATCCATCACCTGTTTCACAGTAGTATTCACCCACCGATATGAAATACTGCTAGCAATTCACGTCTAGAGATCCTGTCATTTCTCTCAAACTAAAAGCATCACAGCTTTAGTAGTACTCACAGTATTTTTTTCAGAGTTCCACACCAAGTCTTTGAAAGCCAGTTGTGATGGAGTAAGTTCAGGCTGCAAAAAGTGACTTGATCGAAACTGATTGCCTATAACAACAGCAATTTTTAAAATACGTAACATTTTTTTAATGACCTTTATTGTCACAAAGTGAACAACACTCAAAATTCAGATGTGGCTAAAGTCTCTTTGAATATTTGACTGGCCCAAACAATACTATGGAGGTATGTTCTACTACTTTTACTGTTTGTATTTACTATTCATTCCAGAGCACAGTAATTTAATTAACAAAAAGAGCTATTGATTTGAAACCATTTTAAACAAAAAGACTAAAAAAACATGAGCGATTTGGTGAAGAGACTCCAAAAGATCTCAGAGAAAAAGATTTTTTTAAAAAATCATTTTCTGCAATGTCAACAGGAAGTATCTTCCAAAGAAGAAAATCTTTGAAATCATTAGGAAATTTGTCATTACCTCTGTGTGGCCAGGACTTCACACAGATAAATTAAAACTTAACTGAAGAAGAAAAAAAAGCCTTTTATACATTATTTGATGGGTCAAATACAGCCTATGCAGATTACCCAATTATAATTAAGCAATACTGATTTTAGTCCAGTCATAAGCATTGGATGGAGGATAAGAAACTCACCACAGACACTTGAGAATCCTGCACTGCCATTACTATGAGAAAACCTTACCTTCCTCTAAAAGCTGGAAAAGTGTGGACTGGCGGAATCCTGCAGGAACTGCTCCTATGGTTGTCAGAACTTCTACTGTGTCATTCTATTGTCAAAAAAAAAAAAAAAAAAAAAAAAAAAAAAAAAAATGTTAATAAAAAACAATGGTCCATAATATGAGATTTGATAAAAGGCAAAACTTGACTACAAAATAATTAACATTACAGTAGATGAAGTTACTGTGTAAGAGATACACCTACTTCTGTGACAGCTCTTCTTACAGCACTCCAGTGAGAATCTGTTCTGAAAAAAAAAAAAATTTACTTTTCATATCATATCATCTTAAGGTGGACAAAAATTGAAACACTACATATTGGTTTGTTTTCAAATAGAAGCAGCTTAATAACCATATCTATCTGATATTAATAATGACATATTTCCAGCCACTAAGACTAATTGCTAGACTGTCTCATGAGTTGGAACATAACTTGATACATGGCCCAGTCAGTCTCTTGATTTGGAGGGGGGGGGGCAGGGAGGCAAACCAAAGCAAAACTCCCCAACAAACCCACTCAAGTATAAGTGTCTCTGCAAACTGAAAAAAACCCAAGTGACAGCTGTTCTGAAAAGAAAAATGCAAAGAACCAAACACCCTTGTGAGGTATTCTCACTGTAAGCAACATACTGCCAGATTTGAGGTGGAGGAAGAATAATTTTATACTTATTTGCTTTCATATCATTCCATTTACCTTTTTTTAATTTCAGTTCCATCTGCTGTTTCATCCACCACTTCTATGTGTTCTTCACTTTGCTCTTGGCTGTCAGCATCTTCATAATGGACCTGAATTCAGATTCCAAAAGGGAAAGCGCATTATTTCTTCAAAGATCTGTTCTTAAAAATGTTTTCTCCAACCACAGCACATGTTAATAGTTTAGAAGAGAAGATTTTCTGTCTGTAGTGACCTACCACTCCATAGCACTGTAACTGCAGAACACTGCCCTTCGTTCCGCAGTTACAGCAAGAGATTGGAGTATGCCTACAAGTAAGCAAGAGAAGGCATATGCAAAGCGGATTCTTTAAAAAGAGAAATACATCAGCATCATGAAGTAAAAGCTAGCTACTTAACATGCTCTTTAGTTACATTGTAAAAAGCTCTGTTCCATCTGCCACTCAATCCAAACTGTGTATCAGCATTTAAATGTTCACCACAATTATAGACGGAAATATATGTGCTTAAGTATATAAACTAACTATGTGTAAGTGACTCTAAAGTGAAAAAAAGTTAAAAATCTTGGAAATCCATTTTTGAAAAGGTTCTTCCATGTTAAATTACAAAATACTCCAACATTTACATGGACTCACATTTCATATAAATTATGAAAAGCATGAATGAGTCCATAGCAGCTTGGAATCTTCAGAGCTGACCTTTAGTGACAAAGATTATGATTTTCGTATTTAAGAAACTTCTCTGCACTTGTATGTCACAACTACATCAGGCACAAAAATACTGCTTTTGCTAAATATCTCCATACACACACATACAAACATGGTCTCATTTCCAAATAAGTGGCAAAACACCGCTGCATGCCCCCATGTAAGTATTATGATCAGTTTAAGCAGCTATACTATTATTAATATATATAAAACAACAGAGGTGAGACTAGGACCGAAGAAGGTTGCAGAACACTAACCGCAAGATAGGTTCTAGGAACAAGGCCTCTTTCCCCTTTTGAGTTTTCTGCTACCCACCAGCCATCCACCTTCTTGTCATGTATAAGTAGGACTTCACCTTTCTTTGCCATTAGGAGAGACAGAGACAAAAGAGAACCAAATATTTCAAAATTACTCCAGGCACAACTGAGGGGAAAAAAAAAAAAAAAACAACACACAAAAACTTTGTTTCTCCCCCAAGAGAGATCCCAGACTACCATGGCAGACCCTGCCACTACAGAAGGTGGCAAAAGGACACTGGACTCCACCAAGCCAAACATACACCAGGAAAAGCCATTTCTCCCTGAATCCCACAAGGAACGAGCTGAATCCCACAAGGAACGAGCTGAATCCCACAAGGAACGAGCTGAATCCCACAAGGAACGAGCTGAATCCCACAAGGAGATCTAATTATAGTTATTGGTTAATACAGAATGATCTGAAGTCAAAAAACGTTTAGAGACATATTTACTGTAAATGTGAGATCCTCTTCCTGCTGTGCACTAAAGTTTCCAACTGCAATACATTCTTTAACATTTGGATCATCCAACAATTTATCATCATCATCTGCTTCTTCACTGTCTTCCTCCTCACTACTTTCTTCATCTTCACTCTCATCCTCTTCTTCATTTTCATCTTCTGTTTGAGGATCTTTCTGATGTTCCTCATCCCTACGAAAAATAAATCAAACTTTTAAAATTATTACTTTAACAAAACTTCTGGAAGTTGCTGCAAAGCCTTGCAGTATGGCATTCTCTGCAAAGGTCTTTCTCCAGATACAGAATTATTCCTGTGTTTTACTCTCTGACCTGATCTGAAAAAAATCCAAAATCCTAATGGTGTTTCCACCCTAAGTGTAGAGACCATATTGCATCCTCTCCTCTCAACAATCACTTTATGTTTCAGCCATTAACCAACACCCTCAGAAAATTCCAGTAAGTCCTTCTTGACTGCATCAAGAAAACAAGCACAGTAAGAGTTAGCTTGTCAGCACTTCTTTTTTAATCGTGTATTAAGGTAATAAAGGGGATGAGCTAACCATTTTTCAGGGTCCTTTCCAACTATACATGTATAATTCTATAAAAGTGCAGATTGTATTTGTTTAATCTACTTACACTGCATAATTTGTAGTCACATTATCCTGATCCAAGACAAGAACAAGTTTTTGCAGCTGCTGAGAGAGTTTTAGCAAAAGCTTTTCTTCTTCTTCTTTCCTCCGATTATAATTTCCCACGGGTGCAGGCTCATCAGCCTGAGAAGAACACAACAAATTGCTCAAAGAATCAAAGTTAAAGTTCCCCTATAAAGTTAATTTTCCACACATCTTATGAGCTTTCACCTTCCTGGGCTGCTGTCACTCCATGATTAGTGACATCTTTCTTGCCCTTTTGCTCTGCTAAGATGAAATTTTGTAGTAAATTTCAAATCTACACTCTCTGCTTCCAACACAATGCACTGGGTTGATAAATATTTTATAATGTATTGAGTTGATAAAGATTTTAAGCCCAGAACTCGTACACAACAAAGCACTAAAAATGTGATTTTAAATATCAGAAATGGATCTCAGAGATCCCAGTCAGGGACTTTGCCCTGCTAGGCATTGCTCTTGTCCCAAGACATCTAAAATCAAAGGAGGCTGGTGTTCTCCAAACACTCTCTGTGATGTATTTTAAAGAAAACTATTAACAAGTTTGTCTTCATACTTACTTTTTTCAAATTGTGAAGAGCATCTGTATTCTCATCCACCAATTTCTTCAGCTGCATACATCTGCATTGAAAGCAAGACAGATAGACAGGTGACCCAAATCATGCCTGCTTATTGAAATGTGTCAATAGTCAGACCTTCACTCAGCAATGTGTGTGTGCAGCTTGACAAACACCAATACAAGCCCAAACAGCAGCTTCTATGATTATTACCCATGATGTGCAGTTCCCACTTAAAACTACCTCAGCCCTTGAGGACTGGGAAGCAGCTTGCCTGTTGCTTCCGCCCGGAAAAGAGACAAGTGAGAAGGGTCAGGGAAGAGATCAGTACAATTAGAAGAAAAATGGAAAGGTATACAGGGAACTGCCTGCTCGTCCTTCTGAGGCAAAGGCGATGGGGAACAGAGTGAATCTTCCAGGGACTTTGCTCAGAGTAACCAGGAGATCTTTGCTGGCAATATGGATAGTAGGATTGAGTGCACACTCAATAAGATCCCCAACAACACCAAACTGTGTGGTGTGGTCGACACGCTGGAGGGAAGGGATTCATCCAGAGGGACCTGGACAGGCTTGAGTGGCGGGCCCACGCAAACCTCATGAAGTTCAAGGTCCTGCACATGGGTCAAGGCAATGCCCTACACAAACACAGGTTGAGCGATATGTGAATTGAGAGCAGCCCTGTGGGGAAGGACTTAGATGGAAAACTGACTATGAGCCAGCAATGTGCACTCACAGCCCAGAAAGCCAACCGTATCTTGGGCTTCATCAAGAGAAGTGTGACCAGCAGGTTGAGGGAGGTGACTGTCCCCCTCTACTCTGCTCTCGTAAGACCCCACCTGCAGTGCTGCATCCAGGTCTGGGGGCCCCAGGATAAGAAGGACATGGACCTGCTTGAGTGGGTCCAGAGGAGGCCACAAAGATCATCGGGGGCTGAAGCACCTCCCTTCTGAAGACAGGCTGAGGGAGCTGGAGTTGTCCAACCTGGAGAAGGCTCCAGGGAGACCTTATAGAAGCCTTCTAGTACTTAAAGGGGGCTACAGGAAAAATGGGGACTCTTGATCAGGGAGGGTAGGGATAGGATGAAGAGCAACAGTTTTAAACTGAAAGACGGTAGATTTAGATTAGATGTAACAAAGAATTCTTTCCTGTGAGGGTGGTGAGGCCCTGGCACAGGTTGCCCAGAGCAGCTGTGGCTGCCCCCTCCCTGTCAGTGTTCAAGGCCAGGCTGGATGGGGCTTTGAGCAACCTGGTCTATGGAAGGTGTCCCTACCTATGGCAAGGGGGTTGGGACTGGATGATCTTTAAGGTCCCTTCCAACCCAAACCATCCTGTGATTCCATGAGATGGTTCCCTCCACAACAACGGTAAACTGTGCAACTCTGGGCCACGGAACGCTACTGAAGTGAAGGGCAGGAGGGAAAGCTGGGGGCAGGGGCCGGGCGGGGGGACCGAGGCCGGCTCCCCCACAGCCCCAGCGGACGGGGACCCTTGGGGCTCTGCCTCACCTCTGCGAAAGGGCCTTCTGCTGCCCGGGGGCCAGGGCCGCGCTCTCCGCCCACAGCGCCTCCACCTGCAACATAAGACAAGCGCCGTCAGCTGCCGGCAGAGCCGCGCCGCACCGCACCGCATCGGTACCTGCGCCTGTAGCTCCCGGCTGCTCCGCTGCACTCGCTGAAGAGGGCTCCGAGCCCGCCGCACCGACATGGTTGCTACGCAACGGGCGCGGCGGCGCGGCCAGACACCGTCACTT